AGGCAGCCAGGAAAGGGGCCTCACCACCACAGCTCAGTGGAGTGTACGCTGCTCCGCCCTCGGGTGGGCGGGGAGGATACCACCCACAGGCCCCATCACCTTGGGAGAACTCAGCAGCCTCACACTAGCTCATGGGGGGCCAGGGCCAGGGCCTACTATGGCTCCAAATACTATACCCTACCCTACGTTACACAGGGAGTGTAGACGGAGACGGGATTCAAACCAAGTCTATCTGAAGTCAATCTCAAAGCTCTGACAACCCACAACGGATCTAATAGTGACCCATCAACAGCCAAGCATGGCTCCCCCATGGAAGGGCATGGCGGTTACCCACCACCCACCCGCCGGGAGGGATCGAAGCGTCTGCTCCAGACCCCTGGACACCAGAAAGGAGAGCCACCTTGTAGAAAGGAACTGCAAGTAGTGAAAAGGCCACAGCTCTAAACCCCACGGATGCTTTCTCCCACCAACCTCAAAACCACCCCACAAGGGCTTTGGCAGACACCTGCCCCGCTGAACAGATGGGCCATCCCACCCCGCAACACACACACACACACACACTCTCCCAAGGAAGACTTTCAGCTCTCTTAAGGAACCTCCCAGCCAGGAACTTCCCCTCTGAGAGCTGCACCCAACCACTCAAACCTAAGGGCTCAATTAAAATGGAGAAAACCCCTCCACCTTCACTTTCATGGCTGCCACACAAAGACGGCCAAGCTGGAGAACACCCAGGGCCTCTCGCCTCGCCCTCCCAAAACCTGTCTCTCAGAAAGTCCCTTCGAGCCACCAATTCGGAGTTCACTCAGAGACGCCAGTAACCGCTCTGGGTGACTAGGAACACTATCATAAAGCAATGCAGGGTGCGCTACCACGGCCTCAGTGATTCATCAAATGAACTTCGGGGTACTTTCATTTGCTAATTAATTTCTCTTTCTTTCTGCTTAAAGTCCAGGCAACTATTACAAAAACAAAAGGACCGAGCGACAGTGTTGTGATGGGGGACGCTGGCCGCTCTGGAGAAAGGGAACTCACTCTTTCTTCCTTCTTTTTCTCAAACTCTCCACGGAAGTCTGAGAAATAAAACTTCAAGTCCCAAGTCCTAGTTGTCACATACTTAACATACACAATCTCGTTTCGTTCTAAAAATAACCTGGTGAGTTAAACATAGACAACCTCACTTTATACATGAGAGACTGGGAGGAACTGTATCTCAGGCACTTAGCGGCGGGGCAAAGGTTCGACTTCATTCTACGGGACCAGTCTGCTTCCCAGAGACCATCGTCAAGTCCAAAAGAATTCCATTTTCTGCTTTAAGAAAAGCCCCCCCCCCCATGACCACAATTCATGTCCGACCAACTGCTAGAGCTTCCTCCCAAACTGGATATAAAAATGTTGAAGTAATTATCGGAGAAGTTGAGCAAGAGCATGTAAGAGGCCTGCTCTGCCAGGATTCTGCGGAAAAGTGTAAGAGTTCCTATTGGCAGGATGCCTGCCTGCCTGCCAGGGCCCCTCACGGGGAACGGCATTCTCTCAACCCTGGCATGAGAAATGAGCAGCCACCTGTCTGGTCATCTTGGAAGCAAACCTGTGGCGGAGTGGGGCTTGACTGCCTGTGGATACAGGTCAAGAAAAGTCCCAGAGGAGGCTCAGCCTCCTGACACAGGGAACTGGCTCCCACCGGCCCAAGCTCCCAGTCTAGTTGAAAGAGAGGCTGGTGATTAAGGTTCACATCCTCTGGGCGAGATCACTGCAACTTCAGGCTGCTCCTGGGAAGGGACAACTGGGTGCTAACTGGTTATCCGTCAGCCCTCCAGCCTCCAGGCTCACATTTACATTCCCACAAATACCACCGCTCCTGGAAGGACCTCCCTCATGGAGGTTTGGGGAACAAACAAGGGCAAGAAGCCGGGGAGAAGGGTCCTGAACACAACGGTGACAATTTACTGCGGGTTTACCCTCCTAAATACAAACCTTTGTTTACACTGCTTTAGCTAATCTTCCAAAATGACTTCTGGAAATAGGTACCATTTATTATCCCCATTAAACAGGCGAGAAACCAGAAGTTTAGGGAGAAGTCACTTGCCTGAATGCTCAGGAAAAGAGGTTAAGCCACTAGCTGGGAGTGGTTCTGAGGAAGACAAGTGAACTGGCAGATCAGCTCCCTGTGCCCCAAACTGGAGTGGGTGACTCTGAGCCGCCTTGTGGTCCCAACCAGAGTCAGCAGGGCGACGGCTGCCCCGAGCCCTAAGCACTCAACACCCCAAACTCCCTGCGGCTTGGGCCAGAGCAGGGACGTCTCCAAGCCTTCTCTCTGGTTCCGGGGCCAGAGGGCCCTGCGGCTTCCCCAGCCGGCCCCCCGCCCCGGCTTCCAACTTGAACCCAAAGGGACGCCCCTCCCAACCTCTCACCCCATCCAGCCCGGAACCGCTTTTGGGATTAGGGACTGATCCGGAACAGGCAGGCGGGCTGTCCTGGAGGAGGGCGCGGG